GGGGGGGGGGATGTACCCCTGCAAGGGACATAAATTTTTTGAGCTGATCAACCTTTTCTAACTCTGTGATCTGACACCTGAGTGATAAAATGTTGTACAATTGGTTTCCTAACGTTGACATAGTATATAAAAGTGTCCTTATGCAAGTTTTACTTTGTTAAACTGTAAGTTGTATCACTATATAGATATCACTGAAGTCTAAAAAAAAGAAAGAAAAAAAAAAAGATAATCCCTACCTATCAACCCTAATTTTTTTCAGGACTAAAACAGGAAACACAACATTTTTTTTCCTAGGGCTAAAACAAAATTGTTATTAATTGTAACCAAGTAAGCAAAACACATATGACCACCACTAGCAGCCCCAGCACACACCACACTAAAGCTACAAGAAATCTTAGTAGTGGTGCTCATGCTCACGTGGTGTGGACTGCACTGGCTTCTTGGGCATTTAGCCAAGCTCTGCCAATAGAATCAATGATAAATCTTTTTAGACATGCCAACAAACTGAAAAAAATAGGAATGTGCCATCATGTTTCCTATTTTTGCTGGCAGGCAGGGATGCAGTGGGCACTTACATTTGATCTAGAACTTCCAGCAATGATAGGCTGCCAGACACAAGACCAGGGGGGCAAGAATGTCATGTTAGTCAACTAGTAACATACTGATTATACATTTGTATATCAATATTGTACTATTGTTTGTAACCAATCTACTGGGATGTTTTTGGTCCCATAACGTGTCCCTTGAACACTTCACTTAAACCTGGGATTAAAATGTTTTGTATTTGAAATCAAATTTTAATTTGTAAAGGAAATCTACCTTATATAAAGGAACCGTAACTTAAATCACTCGTATTAGTATACTTTTACTTGTTTATTGTTAATTGTCAGTATACAAAAATGTATCTATATTTTGTATGTTATTTTCCTGTGTGTCATGTAGTATTGTATCGATGTTAAGTACCACAGGAAGAATAGCAACTACATTGTAGGCATGCTAATTGTGGATCCAAATAAACTCAAACTCAAATTTGTGCAGTTTAAGTCAATAGTCTTTTGACACTGACTGATAGCAAGAGATACAGAGAGAGATGCTTTTGCTACTGGCTGCTTTGCTGTCTTGGTGGCACATCAAAGATCATAAAGCTACGATGTACATGTATGCCAAGACCAATTCAGAGTAAAGTCAAACCCCTTTCAAGGACCTATCACAGTCTGCATAGCCCTGTCTGTTAACGTTGGCCACATGTGATGCTGACGTGAAGGAAATATTGATGATGGCACCCTTGGGATGGAAAAACCGATAATCAAACAAGTGTGAGACGAGGCAATAGTGACCAGAACAGACAGACATGGACGCTGACATGGGAAGTATTGACAGGCCACGATGGACATGACATTTGCACCAAATTGGCGTAATATACACAGGATGGACTACACACTTTTATTTCATTAGGAAAGCTGGCTGCCAATTTTCAATGGTGATCCAGACCTTATCAAGCTGATGGTAAAATATCAAGCAAAAATTGCAGTTTGCAGGGGGCAATTTCAGAAGTAATCCCATGGCAGAAGTGCAAGTGTGAGATAACTCGTTGGGGTTTTTTCATCACTTTAACACCAAACGAGGATGCCAGAACTTCCATTTTGAAGTGGAGATTGTGACACATTTACTGGCACATCTGGAGATGGCAAAATCACCAACTGAAAATTGGACTGACGCTGTTTTCAAAAACATGGTAACTCTGGCATGTACTCTAGACACCACTTCGTTCAGACAAGTCTCCTGATAGCATGTTTGATAATGGAAACAAGTGGTGCATAAAAAGAGATAGCTTTTACTGTTTTTGTGTTAGCTTTAAGTGGTGTAAAATCCATCTAGGAGAGAATTGAGCAGGTTACATTTTAGAGTGCATAAAACATGAATTTCAGCACCAAGGACAGGGATTGTGGTACAAACTTGTCAGAACCTTCAGCACCAAAACCTGTGTGACAGAAGGAATATGGAGAGTTGCTGAATATCTGCCTTACCTTACTGACATCTGGGGGGAGCTTGGTCCACTGGAGTAGCTAGCTGTGCTGTCAGAACTATATCTCCTGACCAGGGACTCACTAGTGCTGTAGTCCCCAGCACTCACCAGTTCATCCAAGAGTTCTGTGTCAGACTTTTTCGGGAAGGCAACATCATGGTACCGGCTGGTTTTCTTCTCCTCCTCTGCGCAGACCAGGTGCAGTTCATCATCCAGGGACATTTGTTTCCTGGACGGTTGCATGCGCCGGTTTAGCGGAACCGGTTTCGAGGGGTTTCTATTGCTTCCGACAAGAAGTGGCGAGGACCGTCCGGAGTCACTGGACACCCGCGGGCTGGTACGGGACATCATGGTGTCTCTGGGAAGGGACGCAGAGCTACGCGACGGTAACGCGGGGCCGTTGTCGATCTCCGCTATCTTGCGATAGAAGTTTGTATGGCTCTCCTCCGGAGCCAGGTGGTTTTGAGCCTGGGGGTCAGTTTTTCCATCCCTCCTGGGGGATTGCTGTGCTGTCCTGTCCCGACCCCTCCCCGGACTCCTCCCAACATCCTGAACTCTCTCCCTGGAACCGGTCAGAGCCGGTCTGATCTGGTCTCCAACTGGCTGGGGTCTCCCTGTCAACAAGTACAGAAATCACTTGTTATCACAATGTAGATCTTAATATAAGACATACACTAGGAAAAAATACTGTGTTTCCTGTTTGAGTCCTGAAAAAATTAGGGCCGGTAGATAGCAACTTTTGTTTTTCTTTTTAGACTTTGTCGATCTCTAGTGACCCAACTTACACAATACAGTTTAACAAAGTAAAACTAACATGAGGACAGTTATATTTTTAATGTCAATGTGAAAGTACACTCAATGGATGATTGACTAAAAGAGTAAAAAGATACTTTGTGCAAGAGGAAAAGGAAACAATGCCAAGTTTCTAGCACATCTTAAAACACTTCAACAACAAACCATCAGACGAACATTAACAGAATCACCTAGAGAGGATATCTGACCACAGTATTATTTACAGCCACTATAACATCTGACATTGCAAAGCCACATCAAAGAGTTGATTTATATACACTTTACAGTGACACTCAAGCTGAAATTCCCTCATGAGTATTACCACTGGCAATGCCAAGATGCTATCTGGATCAAGAACGCTTTTATATCCTTGTGTAAATTTATAACCCTTTTGTTTCTAAAAAGGCTTACAGTGCTGAGAAGATGGTCCTAATGTTCTTAATTGTTTTGGGATGATGGCATGCACATTAAAGGCTTTGTGCACGCATCTACATCAATTCCAACAATCTTTGTGGTAAACTCAAGGGAGTTTTCCCTACTTAACTGGATATGTTTGAGCTCAGTTGCTATCATTAGAATTTAGAGGATGGCTGATGCCCTGTCATTTGCAAACAGAAAGCAAGTTCTGTAGAAAGTCTGGTGAATAACTGCAACAAATATTATCATTAATGGCAAAAACTGATTGAAGGTTCTAGTTGCATAAAATTATGTCCGAATTTTCATGTCAGGTTATGTACAGTGTATTCTTAGACTAGCTATACCAGTTTATACCTTTTAATATGTGAGAAAAAAAAAACAACATTTCAAAGAAAACAGCTATAATAACACAGCTACAAGTATGTCATACTTCTCCAACTGAATGTTACATATGCTCTTTGCGGCCTTTGGCCTAGGAAAAAATATGTTGTGTTTCCTGTTTCAGTCCTGAAAAATGGCAATCTCTCTATATATAGTGATGTAACTGATACAATAATACAGTTTGACAAAGTAAACCTTGCATGAGGACACTTATAGTTTCAATGTCAATGTTAGCAAACCAATTGTACAATGTTCCATCACTCAGATGTCAGATTGTGGAGCGACAAAATAGACCAGGTCGTAAAATTCATGTCCATTGCAGGGGTCCACACAAAAAAAAGGCTAGGGTCGGTAGGTTTTTAGAGGGTCAGTCAAGAAACAGGAAACACAACATTTCTTTCCCTAGGCCTTACAAATTTGTTACTAGAGCAAGAATTTCAATATTGCACTATGATACTCTATGTTTTCTTAGAAATACCAGTCTAGACTAAGCCTTATATACATGCACAGAAAAGAAAACTAAGTCTTGTATACAGGTGTGCAAAAAAGCAGACTAAGTCTGGTATAAAATGATACAAGTAGTAAAATCAAAATAATACAGAATAATACCCTTTAAGTGGTTTGACAAATTAATGATAATCATTGCTAATAATTCTCTGAAGAGTGCAGCACTGAGCAAAGCAATTAACCCATACACTTAATAAGCACACCGTACTAATTTGCCACTTAATCAAGACCAATTAAAGACACAAAAGGTGCTAAGATCAGATGCCTGTATACTTGAGATTACAGGTTTCGTTTTCCTAATTGCTAAAAATACAATCCTTATTTTTGTCATTCCCTAAGCTACCAGATTACTGAGGTGGGTGATTTACTGGTTAAAGATGAAGTATTGACATTTCTTGAAGAAGGAAACCCCCAGTAGACCACATGCCCCTGGCAGGTTAGTATAGAATACTAGAAATTTGATGCTTTAATTTATCACCAGGTATATTTGGTAACAAGCATACCCTGACAGTAACCTACATGTATGAGGAGATGTCCGGGAACTATGACCCGATTTACACACGGGCAAAAACCTGCCACAAAAACTGCATGACAGCACAAAAACAATTCCCAACAGTGGGAATTGTTACATGTAGTCCTGATTTATACATGCAAAAGCTTGATGCACTAAAGTTTCGTACGAATGCAAGCATGCGAAAACTGTGTATGTCAAATTTTTACTGCATGTACAAATGTAAATCAGCCTGTTCAGATTATACATGTCCGTTACCTTGAGGTCTGCCGTATGATCATTATGTTCTTGACATACATTAAAACAGGCCGATTTACATGCATGAAAAATTTGAGGTACCCCGTTTTCACACTTTCACGTTCGTATGAAGTTTTAGTACATCAGGCTTTTGCATGTGTAAATCGGGTCTACATTTTTGTAACAATCCCCACTGTTTGTCAGTACAGCCACATGACATACGGATCGCTGATGCCTGCAATCCCGCGTCGGGCTATAGGTCGTCAATAATCCAACATTTTCCACTCATTTTAGCAAAGCTGCTGGAAGGTCGATAGAAATCTAATCCCAACTGTCGGCCGTGATGGAGTGAGAAGGTTGGCCTGTCATCCCTAATACACCATACTTTCAGCAGTCCCTCCCTGTACCATTCACCCCCTTCCTAATGCCTCATCTGCCTGAGTGTGCTTGTCACTTTTTGTGAGCTGTTTAACGTCCGTTCTGCCCAGTTTCATTTGTCTTGAAAGCTTGGAAACAATGCCAGACAATGCAGCTGATTTTTGTTGGACCGACATGGTATCTAACTGGACAGGACTGATGTACGTTTGTAGTTTGTAGCCATCTTGAGACAAATGATAGTCCCTCGATGTATCGACCCTAAACAGCATTGTAGAAAAATGGCTTTCTGGACTGGACTCAGTGGGATGAGAAGAAGTGTTGATACCGACATTCTGTAATGCTTGAGTATTATCTCTTAAGTTCATGCATTTTTTCTGAATGTTCGCCTCAAGCACATTTAAGATCTCACGGTACTTATCGATAAGAACTATTATGTATGGTTACATCCTGGCATTACAGTTTGGTCTTACTGTTAAAGGCAGTTTACTGGTTAAGCAAAACAAACAAACAAACAAACAAACAAACAAAAATCCTTCTTTGTAATGACATCAGCCAAATTTACAGGTCCCAGGTGTGCAATAATGTCAATAACTCCTGCTGTTTTGAGAGACTTTCTTTACAACTTTTAATTTTTCTATGGATTGAATAACATAACAAGTCTGCAACCTACAGCAGTAAAAATTTTATTCTAGAGTGCTTAAAGGAAATGCATTATTTTGTGCCTTTGGGCTAAATAATAATGATATGATATCAAAATATCATGTCGTTTCTTACCAAGATGTAGCCATTTGACTGTTAGGCAGTATATGCCCCTTGACGCTTGTTATGTACATGCATAGTACTACTTATGCCTAACAATATCCCACAAGCACAAAAACTTGACTTACACAGGTATCAGACTAGCCTTGCGGCAACTGAAGTCTACCTTAAGTACAATCCTCCAAATTAAAGATCTTTCCTTTAATGCAATTTCTAGACAAGGCAGCTTGGTTAGACATAGTTAAGCCATACATATGTACATAATTATGTACATTTCTACACCTTGCCCCTATCTCTTCTTTCTCAATACATGTACATGTAGCAATAGCTACAATCACGTATATACATGTATGTACATGTAGGGATCTGAATTTACTAGACTTTTAGTCCCCAGACTTTAACTTATAATCTCCAATTATCTAATATCCACAGACTGTATATTAACCCTAGACACCATCGTTTCCTCTTGTCTCTAGCAAATCCAATGCTAATCCATTTACACTGTTACGCTGTTTTTTTGCAAGGCTCGAGTCTATCCTACCTCTGCTTGGGGAACTCCAGAGCTCTTCTAGCTTCTCCTCGACAGGTGTTGTTGCTGACATTGTATCATGAGCATCTAACACCCTTCAACTGGTCTCATACGGCTCAAAAGTGGTGATCGCCGGGCCATTGATTTTTTAAGTCCACGCGACACCCGGCATGCACCCAGACAATGCACATCATTCACAGAAAGGGGCGATAGCTTCCAACAGTAATTCAATTATTCATAAAACACATTGTGGAGTCCCCGAGGGTCATGAATAAAGAATGAGCAAATGGTGGTGGTTCGTCTCAAGGTTCGAAAGTGGGTGTGACCACAGCGGAGGGAGAGGCCCTCGTGCATCGTAATGCAATACTTCACACCACCTTAGGGTTCAAGTTCAACTTCACAAAGGCTGAAGGTCATGTTTCGTACCTGACCAGAATTGCTTCTCCTCTATTGTGGAGCCCTTACGACGCCAGGGGGTGGTATAAATGAAGACCTTTACACCAGAGTTTTCAAAATCTATCATTACTCTGGTGTGGCAATTTTCAAACAGGATTCTTTGGAATTCCTTTAGCCATTCAAAAACTCCAAAAGAGAATTGGACCGAAAGATGAAATTGAAACTACTCTACAAAAGAGCTTCCTTATTGAAGGATAAAGTCTTTGTTCTGCATGTATGCATAGTGGTCACATTAAAAAGATGCCCTGTTTCTGCATTTAGTAAAGCTAAGGAGCTTGTTAATTCATAGATTGATTTTGCTAGGATTTAGAGAGTAGAACTCTTACATGTACAAAATGTAGGCATCCTTCCATCTCAAGAGATAACAGTAGCACTCTAAGTCTGATGTTCTGGCCATGTGCAGTGTCTAGTGGGGCTAGGATTATAACTCTATATATAGTGATAATATATATTAATATTCTTGCTGACAGAAAAAATTCACTTGTACAAGGAAAAACAAGAAAAAGCATTTTTGCAAATTTTGGTAGTGTAATTGTGGTAAAAATCTCATTGTGTGTTTCAAATGGTAATTAATATAATTCTTTAAATTTATTACTCAAATTAAGAATTAAAGATACAAAATTTCATTGTGTGTTTCAAATTATATCTTATTGCTCAACTTAAGATACAAAATCACAATTTGAGGTATTACTACTAAACAATAATAACTATTATCTTCACTATATGTACATGAGCATGTTTGTCACTATTAGAAAAATCAAAGTAGTCCACTTCTTCAATTTGTATTCCATGATTATGTATCTTTTAACAGAATCTCAATACACTAACATCGTGACGTCAACGTGTATCGCCAGAGGCTTGGCTTAAAGATTTCACATGTGCTGAGGTGGTATGTACACCGTTACACGATGTTGGTACTGATATGCAGAGGCCCAATGGCATGCAGACTGTGGAAGGAATGACTGATATCTGGACTGGGGAAGATGGAGATGCCAAAGGGTGTTATCCTTCTAAGAATCTCCCTGGTGACGTGAGAGAAATGTTTCAGATTTCTTCTGTAAGGTGAAGGATTTTTGGCTCTTGTGAGCACATCAGCAGAATGTACTGCACCTGAGTGTGTTACAGTAATATATTTGTCGGATGTTTGGTCAATGTTGCATTAGAATTTTTAGGGCCTGCATGGGGGGGGGGGGTTGTGATTACGAATTACACAAAATTTTTGCCAACGATTACGAAATACGTTAAATTCTCAGAGCTGATTAGGACTTTACGCTCGCGGCTAATGTACTATAATTATGAATTACGTTGATTTTTGGGGACGCTGCCTAAGAATTACGAAGATTAAAAAGGCCTGACTACGCCTTACAAAAAAGGGCACGCGGGCCCCCAACTTTGCCTGTCTTTTCTGACACAGCATTTCAAAACTATAGACATGCTGATCCATAATAAACATATTTAAAGAAAGTAATGTGTCTTAAATACAGTTGTACAAATCTTGAATAACTTCCTATTTGCATGTGTGCAGATCATGATTAAAAGTGTGCAAAATGTGAATCATTAAAAGCAGTACGTTTCTCATATTAATTAAACTGTGTGCAAAACACAAGCAATTCTCATTTAAATTGCATCTAGACAGTAAGTGTAATTATGTGGTAAAAGTGTTACACATGTACATGTAGCTACAAGTGACTGCAGCTAGTTAGTGCACAAGGTTCACTGAGTGACACTGCTTTTGCATGATTTTTAACCATGCTACATTGTAATTAAAGCTTTTCCATGGCTTTCAATTGCAATTTAAATGCAATTTATATGCATATATTTGCACATGAAATACACGAGTTAAAATCGTGTGTAACATGAAAGTTAATCAAGATCTTTACTGTATCAACTCAAACAGTGCCAAGACTATTAACAGACTCCTGAAGTGAATACTTCATCAAGAGTACAAAGAAGAACAGAACAGAACTTAAAATAAAGCTATTTGAAATGTCAAACCTGTTCCAATTCACTGGGGTGTCATGATATATTTGCATCATTTTAACAAATTAGACAACTTCCATCGCTTTTGATGCCGAAGTAATCTGATGGCCAATTATCCAGTTGGCAGTTTCCTTGTGATATCTCTCGTATTGATCAAAACTTGTTAATGTACCTGCACAGAAATCGATACATCCATTGGATTTTCATCCATATATGCATATCCCTACAGATGAAGACGTGGTGAGAATAATTGTACCTGGTTACATTGCTTAAACCTAATAATATATAGCCGTTAATATATGTCAAAAGTAAGAACAGAGTGCTTTAAAAGTACAAAATCTGTACAAAAACAGTTGTTTCCATCTTCAAACGTGATCCTAAGAACGTCGATGAAGGTTAGACATCCAGGTAATACAATACGCCAAAAAGCAGTTACTCTAGCAACTGGATATGATTTTGGAAACGGTCAGACGTTTCAGCTAGTATCCACTAGCTTTCGTCAGTGACTGAGAGACCAGAGAAGACATGCAGATCCTTAGAGATCCTTAGGGATCCTAAGAACACTTAAGATTTAAAATGTGTCTGGTAAGTCTGGGAAAGTTTTTATAAGTTACCGCAACTTCTTTCATCAAGGGTAACAATGTGCAAATGGACTCACTGATTTTCTACGTGGCTTTGTGCTTGCCCACATCAACCAAAGGAGAAGAATACTGAACAAAGCAAAGTACCCTCTTGGTAATGCAGGTGGCTCCAGCGCAATACTTCAAAGGTACAAAAGCGAGCTTTGTAGCCTTGTATGATGGATCCTGAGATCGACAGGGTTTTTACAAGCTCCCAGGGCCTCTTTATCATTGTCACTCACGCTGCACCAACGCAACACTGGGACCTGGGGCCATCCATGCTATTCTGGGAGACAGCTTTGATTTTGAGACACAAGAGCCAAGATTCTTCATCTTACCGGGAGCAGGATCAATCAATATTAACAACTGAAACTATCTTACATCACGTTTTCCAAAACTTCAGTACATGAGGGCTGGAAATTTTGCAACTCAAAAGTGGAAATTGTGAGTAATTAGGAATACCACAGTCCCTACTTTTATTATCTCTTTCTAATAGTCAGTAGCAATTAGGATAAGAGATTCTGCAAAATGTTCATCAGCCAGATCTAGAATATCCCTTCCAATATTGACGGAAGAAAATTTGTAACAAAATCACACAATAGTCAAGAATGTGCTTGGTTTGGACAAATTATAGCGAATTTGCACCGTAGCTTTACGATCTGTTCTCTTTGTTGCAAAGCTTATCATAATACAACTAAATATGACTAATAAGCAAAAATCCATAACAATATGCAGCTCAAATACATTGTATGAGTATCATATAGGGTGGATTCTGTTTAAACCTGTTGTACAGTAAACTTTTACCAAGCTACCAAGCCCAATCCTGTCTCGTCTCCTTCATATACGAGGTGTGAGAGTGCAGATAATTCAACTAATTTAAAATATAACTAATAATCAAAAATGCATAAAAATATGAGTGTAATGAGCAGCGTTCTCACCTCGCCCCCTGCCCCGGGGTCTGCGTAGGGACGCCCGGATCAAGTCCGTACCGAACAGTTGGTCCTTCTTCTTGGGATCCATGGTCTCGTAGAACCACTCCCCTGTCTCGATCTTCAGCAGTCTGTCAGACCAGGCACAAAATATGCTCCGTCAGTGATTTCTACCACCCATAAGTCAATACGCTTGATAAACTTAAAGCATCCTGCTCCTATAAGACGCTGCGATTTCGTTAATGAGAAATGAATCCAATAACGTGAGCGGAAATTACGCGGGAAGATTCAATAACGCACGGTTATTGGGCAATAAAAAGACATATGACGCAGCAGATACTGTAATATTTCATGCTGATATCTTCAATATGTAATATGTATTTATCGGAAAACATTCAGTTATAGGCATTGGAAAAGGGACAAATCATATTCACTATGATTCATATTTCATGATAATTTTTGGAGAACATTTTATTATACATGTACCACTGACAGCTTCTGTTCATAAGTAAAGATGAAATAAAAATCCAAACTGTATCAATAAAAGTATTTTATGCTTGCAAAGTTTGAAATGGTGAACTAAAAGCAAAAACCTTAATGTAATTTTAGTAGAACTTTTGACAGAAAAAAGAAAATATTGAGTAATTGACACAAGAAAAAGCAACAACAAGCCAAACTTACTAAGAGCCGTCATAACTAAAAAAAGTAAAATCTTCAACACACTTGTAAAATTCCTGGCTAAAAACAAGCCATCAGAATCTATATCCTTGTCTTACATGAGGTATTATTACTAAGAATTTCCATGTGAAATCTGATCTTAGATCATCTGGATCCTTGAATTGCGGGTACATCATTTACACACAAAGCCCATACATGGCCTGGGGCTATCACTTGCTGCACTGATACCTGCTCAATAACAGAAAACTGCAACAGTGCAATATCAGCATCGATTCCCAAAAATAGTATCCCCCAGCTACACTATGAGCTTACATTTCTGCACCTTGGGCAATAAGAATATTACTCATTCATTGCTCCTAGGGCACCATTAGAATGTAGGAAATATAGGAAATATTGAAGAGGGCTTAGAGACATCAAACTCTGCTTGGAGTTAGACATAAATGCTATCATAGTTATCAAGGACATGCCTAAAGGCAATTCTTGTATACAGTAGGACTATGTATAGTATCAGAAGTCATTTCAAGCATACCACAAATAAATACAAAATAAATAGAAAAAAATGATGATACATATCGAGGGGAGCCTTATTATTAGTTTATTTTCTGAAAGCAAAATCACATTAATCAACCAATTTTAAAGTATACACAAGAAAAAAAAACAGTTACTCAAGCAACTGGATAGACACTAAGAACTGTCAGACGTTTCAAGTACATGTAGCATGCACTACTCTCGTCAGTGACTGTCAGTTTAAAAAAATTTATCCAGTTGCTTGAGTTAAACAGCATTTTTTTTATGAGTGTATCTCATTGCCTGGAATCGTGGATGTCTAACCTTCAGTGCATTTTTAATTATGATTACCAAATCAACTTTTAAGTTTAAAAATTGCAGGTCCTTTTTTTTTACCATGACAGACGTATCAAAAGGGACTGAGAATATATTTTGATTTATCATGAACAGCAGTGTACAGTTTCTGTACCTCATTCGCTCCATGCTATACTTTCCTCATTCAAGAAACATTGCAACACGCCTTGGGTATGTGAAGTGATCTTAGACTTAGAGTAATTTTTGCAGCCAAATCCCTGCTGGCAGCAAATAGCCATCATTACACAATACCTCGTGAGACTTCTGTGAGGAATTGGCAGTTCTACAGCCAAAGATATAATGAAACGCGTTCCATTTAGACTGAAGACATCAATAAGTTTGCTCTGTGGTACACCAAACTGCCTGTAGAGGCCATTTTTGGAAGAGATGACAGTCATTCAAATCTAGTTAGAGCGTACCTAACTTGTCACTGTGGTACAGCAATGACACCAAATAGGTCACCTAAAGATGACATGAAACCATGCAATGACCACAAATTCCAATAGTTACAGTTCCTGAAAATGTGATAGGCATTATTCAATAAACAAATAAAAATACACTCTTCTAATATTTTAGAGAAGATCGGAAATCAAGAACTGGAAGGACGATTTGCAAGATTTGAAGTTCCTGAACATCAGAAAAGTGTATTTTTTGTCCATTGTTCATTGAATAATGCCTATCACGTTCAACTATTTTCAGGAACTGTTGTATTTCATTTTTATTGCTTTAATGCCGTCTTTAAGTTTATATCCATCAACTTATTTCCATTGCCACTCATTCATGGGTAAAATTAATTCTTGACTTACCTGGCCTAACTTTAAGGCCAACAATAAACTTCCCCGTACTTAGCTAACATCCATTACTGTAACAATCAGTATTCCTAACTTCTGTGTTCCCTCATTGCTGCACAGCTTTATCCGGCTGAATCCATCTGACATAAATCGTACGTTTATGTGGGGGTAAAACCCTTGAAATATCACATAAACTGCAAAAGGGAAGCAGACAGAGTTTACAACGTGCATAAAATACTGGGCGACGTCAGATGTATAGCCCCTGGATCCTGCCAAAGTAATGTTACGACCATTGGAAATCAGTATTATGTGTGTGATATTGCTCATATTGATGTTGTAACAGCGTGCGGCTAATTTCTACAGCTTTCCATCAACTGGTGTGTTGCAAAGGACAAAACTTTGACTGGAGTTACAACTACATGTAGTTCAAAGGTTGATAATGAGTTGTAGTTTTGTTAATTGTAAACTGTAATTTTTGACATATACGAAGCACTTTTCCTCCCACTTTCACATTATGGAACTGTTACGATGGTGCCACAGTACAGAATGCTCCATGGGTGGGAAAGTTTGGGGAAATCTTTATTTAAGTTAATTAAGGGTGCCAGGAAATATTGTTGTGTTGTGTACGTATATCTACAGTACTTGTAGACCTGTGACAACTCTGATATTGGAATATGAGTTAAGTCTAAACACCTCAAATTTCCTGGCCATCTATACAAGCAAATCTACAGCCACACTTTGCACCAGAAGGAAGGCCTCTGTGTATAGAACTCTCCAGTGCATGAGACCTGGAACCAGCTTAGGGACAGTAGTAGCAGTTCCTTGTAGTAATGTTTTAACACTTAAATGTAGGAGTCTTAGTCACATTCAACTGGTTTTTGCAGTTCTTTTACATTGAACAGTGTTGACTAGTTCTATCAGTTTATTTTAGTGATGCTGAAGAATAGTGACAGATGTCACTGGAATGTCTGAAAATACATTCATGTACAATGTAATCTCCCTAATTTATCCAGCAGTAGAGTTTGAATTGTCTTTGAATATTGTTTACAAATTTTGTGTAATTTCATCATCACTCAGGAGCCATACAATTTTGACCCTCATCTTTATTACAGAAAATGTAAAATCCATTTTCATAACCCTTAAGTTGAAAATTTCAATCACAAATCACAAACAGGACCTGTATGCACGAGACCTTGACCCTTGTATACCAAAATACTTCAATGACTATTGAGCCATCTTATTTCATTGTAATAACAGCTCAAACAGTTAATCTGCATGGCTTGTAACTACATACTTATCAAGTATTCATATCCTTGCTTACACTTATTTTAATGGCAGCATGAGTAAAATATGATCATGATTGCTGATGCCATCAACATGGAATATGTCAAAATTCTCTTGCTGCAGGGTGTGTCAGTGTCAATTAATTAGTGCATCAAGATGATACAGTCATGGAGCAGATAATAATGGGCGGTTTAAATGTGGAAAGCAAGTATATGTATCTGTATAGCTAGTATAACCGCCCTTCAGTGGAACACTCATGAAAGCTTCACTGGTGTAGGCTGGCTAACGACTTGTTACACCTAACCTTTGCATATCTAACTGTAGACATTGTTCAAATCTACTGTGTCTACATGTGATGATGCCCCTATACTGTACATGGTGGCAGTTAGTTTCACTCATAGTTCTAAGAAAAAACTTTGAAAACCTCAATCCATGGTTGATGAATTTGGTACTTGAAGGCATGACTATTTTCTTGCTCTTTTCTCTAAGCTGGTATTAGGTGCTTAGTTGTAGTTGGTACATCTACAGGGCTGGAAATACTGAGTGCATGTGCACCTTAGTGAACCCAAATTTGGACCTGTGCACCAAATTTTTTTCTGTCTTTATCTTCTAGGTTTACGTAAGACTATAAAAGATGTTCAATGTACTGTAGTAAACAGCATGTTAATAAATCCAAGAGTCAGGAAAATAACAAAATCATTGTTATTAGTACTAGTATTAGTACTACTTTTCTTTGTAACTAAAAATATGTTTCATTTCTAATTACAAAGAAAAGTATTATTAGTACTAACAATTGACAAAAACATTTTGTGTACTCAATCTTTATGGTTGGGTGTACCAGTGCACCTATTCCCAAAAATGAATTTCGAGCCCTGATCTACCAAGTTGAGTGGAGGAGACAGGTTTGTCCCCCGTCTGCCACGTTTGATTTACAGAAGTGTCAGTATTGAGTTTACAGGCATGTACAGGCAGCTTGGTGAGGATTAAGACAATGGGTATATTAATGAGGCGTGACAGGAATATTGACGGGGAAGCCCAGACTTTGCGATCGTTTGGCTCTCGTCCCAAAATTAGATCGTTGGCCTTTTGTCGATGTTATACGTTTTCCACCTGGATGATAAACTGTGGATCGTGATTATCATATTGTCACAGAAGGATGGGCACAGCTAATTCTTGCTCTGCCATGTTCTATAGGCTGTTATTTTAGATCCGAGGCAATCAAAAGGGAATTAAGGAAAGGTTGATTGAGACATAACAAAGCCTTTCAGGTCAATTAATTGTCATGCCTGCGTTCTTCTGATATTCCCATGATAAAAAGTTTTTTATGATTTCTGGATACAAGTATAATGATCATCGACGGTTTTGGTCCTAGTTACCGCCCCTTATGGAGTGATGATATAGCTTTCATTGGCTGATACAAGATGGGGTGTGCCAGGCCTCCATATGGGTGAATTACCATGTAAATCACCATGTGGCTGATAAGAAACAGGGGTTTCCTAGGCCTCTGTCCGGGTGATTTGAAGTGAATCACCAACTCCAGACAGGATTTGGACCATTGCACACCGGGGCATGCCCCAGCTCTTTTTCGAAAGGTGTGGTGGGTTCTTCAACGTGCGTGGAGTGTGGCTCTCCCAAACACATGGGACCTCCATTTAACTTCCTATCAGAAGGACTTCCCTAACCAAAGCTAGGAACTTTTTTTTCATCCGAGTGAAGTGAGGAAAGATGTGTAAGGTGCCTTTCCCAAGGGTACAACAAAGGGGCATGTTGGGGATTTGAACCCAGGATCTATGGGTTCTGAACCAAACTACATTTGTATTGTGCCACTGTCACACTATGCCACACCCCATGCACATAATGGTTTGATCTCCAAACTGCTCTTCATGTTTTCTTGAACAATGAATTCTTTTCTACATAAACTTCACAACACATTATCATTACCTTTAAGGCCTCAACATGTAAAGATTTCTCAGTTTGATGATGCAGCAACCTATAAAGGAGACAGGACAGCTTCCCTACACATTACACCCCATGTCGTAAAACTCTGATCCCCAATATAAGGGATTTAGTTCAGCAAGACAAAATGATTCCCTACCTGGGCAACAAGATCATCTTTTATTAGCGATCACAGTTGCTGAGCCTGTTAGAGTAATAGTCTTAGTGCCAGCGATTAGTTCTCATACAGGCCTACTGGATTAGATATAACGAGTAGTCCCATTCAAGCTCAAACAATTCATCTTCGAGTTGACTCCCAATAACCATTCTCATTCATCTTATAAATAGACTTAGATCTGACATAAATAATAAAAAAACCTTATAATAATTATAAAGATCAAGTTTTTTTTTGTGTCTTTTTTTTATTATATTTACTGTAAATCACTTTTAGATTTGCGGACGCAAAATTTCCCGGTCTGAGAAAAACGGACATGCTTGAGGCACTATCACAAATATATGTATTTGCGGTGGCGGCAGGTGCACAAGAAAGAAAGTCGACAAATTATTTGTTCGGCGTAATGATATATTCGCGGTACAGAAGTGAAGTACTGCGAAAACCGCAAAATTATATATATAAAAGTACCACTAAAAATCGTGATTTACAATATGACTGTCATTTTATACCAATATCAGCTACACTGATCAACGATAACCCTTAAACACACCCTTCTGTCCCACTTTTCATTAGCTGAAGGCGATTCAGTACCCTGGACATGTCCAATCTTGGAGAAAAGCTTCTCCAGGGCAGAGGGCCATCTCTGATTCCTCACAAATTGCCCCTGTTTGATGTCTTCATGACTAATTCATGCCCATCTTCATCCCTTAAGGCCACTTAAGTAAGTCTCCAACTTTTCCGACACCACACTCAAGGCATTCCGACAGAGGAGAGCTAAGCCGAAAATCCTTCCTGAATGGCACAAAATCTATCTTGGTCAGACCAAGCCTGAACTTACGGCATATATCCAAGCTGGTGCAACCCAGGAAATCCTGCTGTGTAGAAGGCATCATTATAGCAGTGATATATTGTGACAGTATAATGCAATCAAGCTATAAGGGCGCCATAATGATCAGGGAAAGTCAAAGGTTACAGAGCCTGATTGCATGGGGTCTACCTATTGGCTGAATTTGACCCAATTCATCAAATCAAATACTATACTGCTCTAGGAATGCAGCCAATAAAATTTCCCAGAGACAGTCTAGAGAGATTTCTAAGTTACATGTAAGTGGACGTGCCTAAATTTTTGTCAGTAAGTTTTTACCAAGACATGGTTAGTGAAACAAATCTATAACGTACTGTAGAAATATGTACATTGTATTCAGCATAAGATTTGCCTCATTTGGCAGTTTGACCGTTTTTCTGTCTTTATTTCAGGTACCTATCTAGCTATAGCCTGGAAAAAAATTAGTCTAGTAACAGACAAAAGAAGGCATTAAAAGTATGTGCCATACTCAAATATTACCATATTGTTTAGATAAAACGTAACATATCCACTACACGGATCAGGTGCAATCTGGACCTGGACCTAAACCTGAACCTTATCCCACCAATTGTCTACAACAATTCAATTCTCACACCACACAATCAATAGCTGCTATTTCCACACCTACCTTTGCTTGTTGCATAGTGCGCAGAGCCATTTGTCCTTCTTGGGAGTGGTAAACTCCCTGCAGCTGTTGCAGACCTTGTGTTGGCACTGCGGACAGGGGTCCCCCGTGTCGAAGAAGAAGCCGAACGCCGTCTGGCAGCGAGAACAGTTTTTCTCGCTGTTCTGAGCCTCCGACGTTTTGACAGCACTTTTCTTCTTCACTTCTTGAAACTCTTTTTTCAGTTTACTGAGAAGGAGGGAATACTCATGGTCAACAAATCATGTTTTTAACTAATTTAATATATCTAAATTCTAAAAAAATAGTATTGTATAATATTATAATGATTTAGGCCACATCAATATAATTTGTCGGTTCTCGGATTTTCCCAGAAAGAATATGAAGCGACAGGGCGACAAAAAAACAGGGTTAGGCATCCTATTATGCAATGATGGATCAGGAGCCATTAGGTCAACACAAAAGTTAAGAACAATGAATTTTGAACTTTCAATCAAACCACTGCATTGACAGATGGAAAAACTGTGACAACTAAAAAGAAAAGGACTTTCCTCAACTGTTGGGGGCAAAATATGGGCATTTTTTTAGTTGATTCAGAATTTTCTTTTTGCAAATCAGAAAAAAATAAAGAGGCAAATCTGACCAACAAATTAGATTGGTGTGGCCTTAGCACAAAATGTTTCCTCTGACTTTAATATTTTCCAGTAACTGTTGCGTTTCTACATTTTTAGTTGCCCACATCACCAAGAGCTGTTAGTGATGTATATAGCCCATGACACCACTAGACATGTTTGTGCAGTATAGATCTAGAGCATGGCCCATTGGTGGTGTTGTTGAGTTAGGCAGGTTGAGTGGGTGCTGAGGAAAGAGACCCGGAGTTATCTGAACTGATGGCTACCAGCATGCAGGTGACACCACCATTCTCCACATCACATTGAACATGCAGGTGCACAACACAGGTTAGGGCACAAAATCATGATGTCCTACACAGGAGTGGCCATGAATTGCAACATTCTGTATTTGCAAAATCATGCCCGAAGGCTTACTAATACTCGTAGTACAATATGAGAATAGAAAACAGACAATTATTTATACTTCTAATCATGCTTGCTACAATGAATTATGAGGTTAGACTTCTTTGAAGGCAGTGGAGACTATCCACATTCTGCATAATGAGTGGGCTATGTGAGTTTAGTAGAAATGTTAACGTATATTAGTCTTTTGGTGGTCTTCTAAATGATGAAAGGATGGAGAAATTGTGGCAACTGTTTGAAATAACAGTTCACTATAATTCTGCTTCATTATAGTACTTTTTTGTTTCATAATAATGACATTAAGGTACACTACAGTCATGTAACATTTCCATGTAACATTTATTGTTGGAACATAGCAAATAAGTCCCATTTTATTATTTTTCTTTTATTGTGGTGTATGCCAAAAGTGTGAGTAAAGTTCTGGGAGCAAATGTCCAAAGCAACCCCTATACCAAATTTCAAGTCATTTGGTTGTACCTGGTAATATTACGGCATAGGAGCTAAAAATGTACTTTTTGTCTCAAAGCAAAATAGCTACAAAAAGTCTCATGAATTTACACAATATTAAGTATAGTGTATGGTAGACTACATGTAATATGCCACAATCATCATATTCCACGTACCATTCATGATGATAAGCAAAAGGTGATAGTGACATTTTTTATATCACAATATTCTTTCTCTGCCTTTAGGCAGCGTTCAAAAGATAAAGTTTTCTACCAAACGGTTTTTATGGAAGTTTCTTTACCAAGTCTTGGACAGCTCCCAACGTTATAACATGCCAATAAAACACTGTACATGACAAGGTTGTGGCTGTTATGTTATCTACAATTTTCCAGTGGTGATCATGGCTTTATGAGCAAGTACAAGCTGTCACAAGACATTGAACACATTTCTTCAAGGATGAAGATGGCCTGTACTCAATGGTGCAAAACTTGTCGAATCAAGCGAGCGCATTACTTTTATCATTTCAATCATCTTTTCATCTTTCAGTTGGACCTGATCCAGGATGTTATCAAGATTTTGTGCCCGGAAGATCCTGTTTACGACTACGCCAAAGCTTTGGATGTAGGTCAAGCAATCCCAAAGGCAACTATTGGAATGGCCCTAATTAACCGTTGACACCACGAAATAAAAACCAGACACAGAGCGATCATTAAAATCCGCTGGCACCTGTCTCCATCCTCCAGCTCCGAGCCGAGCTCGGATTTCCTTCTCCTGGCAGCAGCAGCAGCAGAGGGAGGGAATACAACAGTCAGAACAGCCACTACAGTGCATTGCTAGGGAGGATGGATGCAACGTGGAACACTCTTCTCCCATGTTACAACACTTAATTAAACCCATGCTAAACTATAAAAGGGAGTACATGCTGGTAATAAGCTATATTAGATACTGTTAAATATGTTAAAACTTTGTTATTATCACATCTAATTTACTACTTTAAAGGGAAACCTGTTAATAAATTTGAAACTGTCACAGCTTGACACTTTCAGTTTCATTATGCCTTTTTGATTAAGCTTAGGTCAAAACAAGTCAATTCTATATATGACATCATCCTCAGACTTCAAATTTAAGTCAGGCAAAATTTTCTGGGAAACTCTCTGCAGTAATTCTACATGCAAACCTCGAGAACCTGTTGTAGTAGTAGGTTGTGACCTCAGAGATTTACCATCTGGTAATGGTCCAATCAATAACATTGTACTGAACCAAACAACAATTTCGAAGGCCAATGGCCTCTCCCTTCCTGACCCAGAAAAGCTGAATTTACATACAAGATGGAATTGCGAAAAATATATACTTTCCTTCTTTTGCCTGACATATTTAACAGGTGTTGCTCAATACAAAGCCAGATGACGACATCTATAGGTACCAAGAATCAAAACTTAGTGACCGTTTCTTGTACCACTAGTATTAGCATTTTGGATTGGCATTCTTATAATAAATTTTATGATCACAATGCTGTTAAGAGAAAGAAAAGAATAGGCATAGAAACAAATATTTCTAATTCCCTTCAATAGTAACCAAGTTAAGATTTCTTGAAGACATCTTCTATAAGCCATAGTAGCCAATTTTATAAAATTACTAAAAACAACAGATTGAAACTTCACACTCATGTATAAATATTCCTCTGACATCTGTAATTAAGGTGGTAGAGCCTAAAAACATGCCCCAAATAAGCCAAAGCCCAAACTTCTGCTTGGAGAGTAGCTAATGCCTGGGCATTGAATATTCATCATAATGATATTTCATAGAAATGTAGACTACCAGGTGTTCTTAAGAACTTACGTTATCCTCCTCTCCTCCACCTTCCTGAGATCCTCGTCTCGCTGTAACACCTGGAGGATCTTCTCCTTCTCCTCCTCCGACAAGTGACTCAGGTCGATCATGGCAGCCTGGAGAAGCGGGGCAGGGAAGGGAGACAGGTGAGTCATCAGGTATTCCAAAACATGCCACATGTACAATGTACATGTATCACACCCAGTGTTCTAGCCAGCATCTGTCTCCCTGTCATTAAACAGAATTTTCGCCACTTTTTCCAAATCTGTCATCTTTGACGGACAAAACCTTAGTTTGCCAGCAAAATTTGCCCCTCAAAATGTTTCTGAAGGTCAAGATTCCAAATTTTTCCTGGAAGAGCATCCATTTTCCTGTCATTTGACAGAATTCTTAGAAAATTTTTCCCAATCCATCATCTTTGACGGACAAAAATCGGCTTGTAAAGTTATGGAAAGACATGTCATTATAATATCAAAACTAAGCTTCAAACCTAAGCTTAGTTTGCCAGTAAAATTTGCCCCTCAAAATGTGGGAAATACAGTTTTAGAGGACCAAGCTTTCAATATCTACCTGGAAGAGTAAGCCCCTAGCTGAGCTTCCCTAGGACTGCTTTGAATCCAAAAATAATGTTCAGGCTGGCTAAAACGCTGTCATGACCCTAACTATAACAAACAGTGCATGTAGAACAGATTCCTAATGGCACTAAAACTGAAAGGTTTAAGTGCACAGCCGAATCAAATATGAGCTACATAATACAATTAGGTAAAGCGTAACACTTTTATGCCAGCTTCGATCTGTAGCTTCAAAGGGAATAAAACACTTCTCAACAGTTTAGGCAAACTTTTGAATTACCACACAAAAAAGCACAGCAAACCACAACACTGCACACCAAAGTCATTTTTCTTTCCATCCACACAAGAGATGACAAAAATAGGTCAAAGCAAGAACAGCTAAACTGATCGCAACTTACAGATGGTGGATCGAGTCAGACACAGCTCCATTAGCCATTAGGGCCATATACATGTACAATAATGTACCATCTGGTCATACTTGTCCTATGAACACATCTTACCACTGCATTGTCATTGTGGCTAATCTGCAATATCACGTTACCCAGCACAGGCCAAATATTGACTTGGGAAAGGCATGTTTCCAGACTTTGTGTTTGCAGTAAAAGTCCAGTAACTTGCACTGTGCCATAAACTTCAGTTGATTGCGAGAGCTAAAATAAACTTCATTGGCTGAAGAAAGATGGTGGATGCTGTCTGAAAGCTCCTAAGCTCACAGAACTTTGTCGAGTGTATTAATTCTAAATCCTTCCTTGTACTATAAAATAAACTGTACTGCTCTTGACTAGAGATTAATGAAAGGCAAAGAGGTTATATAACGCTCAAGTCATAATTAGAATTTAGTTTTACAGACCCTTTCCAGGTCTCAACTTGTCTGTCACTAAGTAGGATCCTAATAAACTATTCATGGTCAAACAAGTTGACCTTTACCTTTTTTCCTAAATGTTTTTTTTTGGCGATATGTACAAAATTTAATGTACCAAATACAACAAAACAACAGGCCAAACTAAATCCAGCTATACCGTAGTTTAAAAGACGATAATTATGATTTTAGCACTCAATGTACAGTTTTCACGTTAATAAAACAGAAGGAAAGAAAAACTGCATAATTTATTATGCCGGCGTCGTAATGTTTTGTTTGCATCTACCTCTTGTTAACCAACATCTCTTAGCCATCATGTGATGTAAATGAGTGTGAATGAAGTTAACCTACCCTCTGATCAACAGGATAATTTTGAACACACTCGGCTAGGTTCTAAAATCTTGTTTTTCCCTACCTTAAGAAGATGCTACAGCCCAGCACTGCTCATCTCTAGGACTGAACTAATGTCTCTTAAGTTCATTACAATTGATTTTAGATACAGAGGCTGACTCTGCTGTTCACCCAAAATAGCAGAATTGTTCAAAGCCGGATGAAATTATATCAAGTTTTGATATAACCTGCTCCAACAGTTAAAGGAAACGAAAAATCAAACCTCCTTCTAATGAAATGTATACCACTAATGATATCCCTGTGGGGCGACTTCTGATCAAACTTCGCAATTTTGGGGCTGACATTGGAGCATTTTTCATAATTTGCACTGCTATAGGCAAGCAAGGCTGGATTAAAGCAGAAGAGTTTAAGACTATAAGGAGGGAGAATTGGTATCTGGAGATGAGGGCTATGGGGTGAATGACGTCAACTGTCAATGATCTAACGGAAATTGGTGAGGCTCTGGAAAACATGGATGAAAATTTGTGATGCAAATCTACAGGAATGTCGTCAATCACAGGGGCAACATCTGAAGAAAAATTAACGTAACCCTGCCAAGACTCACAGGATCCAAGTAAAATTCCGCCTTTGGAATTCGGAAAACCTTTCTCTGGAGGGAACTGGGTCCCTGTAGGTGCCATCCTCGGCCGCAGGGTCTCGATTTCCGTAGTCCGGACGGCCCGACTAGATGAAACCCACTCATCGCGGATTACCTCCCGTCCAATAAGGTATAAACTTCCCAACGCCCAGCAGTTAGGAGGATTTCGTTCTCAAGTCTCGTAAAGCATGGAAAGCGTCTGAACACTTGCTGATAAGTCCAGTGTATCCCGACAAACTTTGGTAAAAGTCGTCAGTCCATTATTGCGTACCGACAGCAACGTGGCGTGAAAGGAGAAAGCCACGGATTCTTATCGCTTACTCCGAGTTATTGGGATCTGTTGCCATTGTCGCCGCGGCTTCCTCCAAATGGACAGCCCCTCGCATCTTATCTCAGGAAGCCAGCTTTGATCTCAAACTTCCTCTGGTTACATAAAATCCCTCAAAGACACCAAGATACGCATAACATGTCCGCAGGGTGTTTCCAACTACGAGGCAGCGGGTGACAAGGACATGCATCTCACAGAAACTGCTGATGAATCTAGACCTTCCAGCCGTATCCCGTCTGCAGGATTAATCAAATTTGTTGTATCTCGGCATTTGGAACACATTCAAGACCAAATTGAATGTGTCCTATTACACTCTAAGAATACGTGATGCTGTGTCAGCCAATGGCGTGTCGCTGGGATAGTCCACAGACCGGTAATGGCTGACCAATCCAATCTACAGACATTGCAATTTGGTTAAATGGGAGTATGATACAACACAAAGGGTGGAGAATTCATCACATGTTTCTTGTGTGATGCGAAGAATTGACCCCCAGGTTGACTCTGCAAATATAGAAGGGGCGTCGAACAAAAGGGGGAATTTTTCCCATGGAGGATTCACAAACAGACCACTTTTTGACACTCTATGCTAGCTCATTGTTGAATTCCACCTCACAATTCTTATTAACTCTGTCAACTGGACCATTTTATCTTTTACCATGAGCACATATCAGATTTAAGAAAGCTCTAGCACTCAGTTTAGAAAAAAAAAAGATATTAGAGGGCAAACCAGTCAGGATTGAAATACTGTATTAGGTTTTCTGACCATTTCAAAACCAGACAATGAAGTTTAAAAGATGAATAAGACAAGGTTTATTGCTAAACTATAGACTTCTTTTGCTGCTTAAATTTTCATGAAAAAGCACTTGCTTCTTTTTGAATGCTGAAATGAACAGTTTATTCAGCAGTGCCACCATTTTTCTGATAAAATAAATTGGAGTTCAAGACAGGAAATGAGAATATTACCAGAAGCAATTATAATAATCCATCTTCAGAAATTATCTACAATATGCTGACAAATAGTTTTATCTATAGATGCCAAAAGCATTTCCAGAACGTGTGAAAATGCCATCAGTCCAGAAAATTTCATCTATGATTACATTTGAAAATGTTTGGGTGGGAGAAGATTAATGTTTTCCCTTACCCACATTTACAGTGCTTCATTCAAATGGAGTCAAGCAAAGCCAGAATACCCAAAGCACCATGATCGTGTATCTTGTTTACTTGTTTTTTTTTTATTTATCTAGTTGAATTGTATAGTTGAATCTAATATTCACCCATGCTGCCACCTCCCCACCCCCATTCTCTTGACCTTCTTGAAAAGCGGCCAATTGCAAGTTGGCAGAACAGGCTGTTGAAAATAAATATTAAGGCCTTGACATGACTTGATCTTTAAATGAACTGAACTGATCTTTAAATACCCCAATATTAAACTTTTCAATTTACGGGTACCATGATCTTGTGAATTCTTCATTTTATTGAAGCCACAAAGCTTCAAGTACAAGCCTTTTATGTATGAGCCATGAGCCTGCGGGGCAATTCAAGCATAACTTGTTGCCCTGTTTTGTCCATTAAGTGAACACAGCTAGCTGTCAGCATTATATTCTGTAGTAGGCACAACTATTTCCATAGAGAGGAAACGTCACATCAAAATGGTTAGTCCAGACAGAGAGCCATTTATATTCATTTAAAGCCGCACAAACCATCGTCTTGTACATCTCATGGAGATCACCCGAGGAACGGACTTCTCGATCCTGGGGCTTCAAGTGTTTAAAGGGATTGAAGGATGCCATGACTTCTGGAACACAGGTGACAGCTGTCAGTCAATGTATGTCAGTCAGGAGACTCTGCAGTCATTTACGTTGAGAATGGACGTTCATGGATGTGAGATGGAAGAAACTTAGGGTGCTATGACAATACGTCGGTGAAGGAAATGTAAGGGAAATTATGTGAGGCTGTGAGGAAAAGAAGACCAAGGTTGCAACTTCAAATTAAAGTATCTAAACTTATCTCACATGTAACTTAAGCAGCAATGAAAAAATCAGAAACATAATGACCTACAAGATATGCCGATCAGATCTCTAGAAGCAAAGTCTAAAAAAACAAAGCTAAGGCGTAGAGTGTAAATGCGGAAAACGAAGCAGCAAGAATCTGTGCACACAGAACACAATTGACATAATAGAAACGAGCCAATACACAAAGCCAGAGGCAATAATTGTATCAACAGCACACAAATAAATATTTGGGGATGAAAAACAGATTTGTTATAATATTTCTGAGAAAATTATGCATGTACATGTATGTATTGAAACCAATTTCAACCCCGGAATTTTTTTTATAGTCAAACAATTGAAACTAATGATTATCTATTGCAAGAGAGCTTTTGTTAATTGATGAAAAATAATCCCAAGTGTGAATTCCTAATTGAAGAATAATGTCAGGAACTACCAGCGACAGTGTCATGCATCTCAATTACAAACGAGGATGTAAATCAGCTCACATGAGAAATAATTCATCTAACAGTCAAGTTGTGTAATAAAAAAGTTCTGTCACACAGCTTATGATCCAAAACACTGTCTTCAGTCATAAAAGTTGAGTGGTGTTCAAAACTTGTCATACTGTGATAACGATTCAAATTTTCTGGTACAGTGGTAACAGTCAAATCAACACAAAGTTTAAGTTCAACAGCATACCTTATGCATGAATATCAAACTTGGAATCTTGAAGTTGTAACTAGTAGATGGTGAAGATGAGCAGCAGGTTATTTTTTTTTTTTACATGATCTTTCTGCAGCACACCAGTCGCTGTACAGAAGATTGCAACAAGGACACCTGTCAGCTCACTCCTTTACTGCAGCGTCACATAGACCGGTCCATACTTGGTCTCCAAAGGCTTTCCACACCTGTGTGGATACAAGATACACATCATGAGTGTAAGTAGGCCACAAAGGAAGTAATTCAGCAGAATCTGAGTGATCTGAGATCTGAGTGATAGATGTTTTAATGGTATTCTTTCATCTAGACTTGGGATGCTGGCAGAATTTTTTGTCTTTCCTTCTTACACAGTCAAATTAAATGATTGTAATTCTCAACAATGTACCTGGGCAGAGAGTTGGTTTATTGTACAATGTAATAGAATGAAGCCAGCAGGGCCAACTTAATTCTGAAAATTGTTTTTGGATTGATTAAACCTAATTTAGCTGCCAAGTCTCTTTCGTTCTCTCCCCAATTGCAGAGAGGGCAAAAGAGACTTTTGTGGAAAGGATGAAAGAGATTTGGATGCTTAAAATTTAAGGTTTGGTGACCTGAGGCTACTAGCAGAATGATTTCACATTCGAACATCCGGTATCTAGTTGTAAGTATTTGTTCTTCTCAGTGCAGTGACCTGAATTCCTCCCTGTTTGTTGAATTATGACATCACGTGTTCCCTGGGGGCATAATTACCATGATCGCTGGGGTGATGTATTGATGTACTTAAGCTGTACAATATCCATACCTCAACAGCTGCAATATTTACCAAATTGTCATCATTATATATAGTGTAACTTTGTATGCACCTATTACAGATGTCAACACAATAAAACTTGATAATGTAAGACGTATTCAGAAAACCTTTCCTAAGCACTTATTAGCATGCTTGGTACATCTGACATGGCTATGCATATCTTCCGTGCTATGTATACACAAAAGCACTCATGGACAATTAAGTGAGACCTGGGCTCAAATATTTGCCCAATGCCAAGGTGGGATTGTGTTCTGCTGTCTGCATGTCTGACAGGTACAAGAGAGGCTTTGTGAACTACATGTAGAGCATAGTTGACTAATGACCACGATCTTAACGTTACATACCAGGGTTAAATGTTTACGTTACAACGTAACAGCTGTTTTATGGTCTTGGGAAGTTGACAAAAGATACTCGTGGGTAATATACTGGTAAAGATCTCAATTTTCTTGTGTCTTAGCTGTGGTCATCTTGACTGTGGCCGGGACTGCCATGCAGAGATTATGAGTGCTGAGTAGCCACACTAGATGCTGCACACGGCCAGACCTAGAGTACTACCACGGTACCACCATCTTTTTGAGATGAAAGGATACCTACATGTACATGTACATGCTGGTAGTACTAACTCTGTGAACCACAAAACTAAAATGCTATACTTTTAGCCCGAAGTGGCTAAATTACACATATGTTTTGGAGCTTGCATTAATTATGCTTTTGAAAACTCTGAACTGTATTCTTGTTAGTGTGATTGTTGGATGAAACGTTGGGTACAGTTAATTATAACCTAAACTTCGATTCAACTTCAAACGACATGCCATATTTACATTGTGTATCACATGTAATTACACAGTACAACCGTACAAATGTACAATATATATATTATGTATCAGATTCTATGTATAACACACCCAGCTTTGTAGGCACGCGGTGCGGCAACAGCTGGCTATAATACACCAAATGACTTGTTACACCTAACTTTTGAATATCTTAAAGCTATCTAGCGATGATGCCCCTACTGTACTTGGTGGCAGCGAGTTCCACTCTACGAAGTACAAATATTATAGTTCTTGGAATAAATATACAGAAACCTTCAAACTGGGGTGCTATACATTGTATCTGCTTCAAACATGGTTACATCATACATGCTGATATACATTTTGTATACACTGTTGACAGATGGTTTTTTATTTCCAAGCTTTTACCATATGGGACATTTGATCTAAAATACCAGGTACATTTTGTATTCACTGACATCTACCCTTTCTCCATCCCTCAGATTCTGCCCCTTTCTTTAATCCTGCGCCGTGCACACTGCTATATACACAATGATCAAACAGAGGAAAGCACCGTGGCCTCTTCAGTCGAGTATGTCAATATTGTGTTGTTCGCGACCCGTGTTGATAACCCCGCCCCATTCCAAATGTCAACATCGCATTTGGGGCATGACCTCCGGTGTTTTAAAACCCACCATCTCAGCAATGCAGCAGATTCCAATATTCACTGTGCACAGATCTCATAACAGATCAGAACGTGGTAGAAATGCATGGACGACAACACCAGGTCCGTGCTTATTCCAGGTGACCTAGTTTGCACACATAGTCGCTGAAGGTAACAAGAACCCTTTGATCACCATGGCTTCTTTCTACTGATGCTGTAGGGCGCATATTCGATCTCCTCTGTAGCCTTGCACTGTATCGACCTCCCCTACAAACATGGACTATCACAGTAGGAAGGCTGTGATTTACTATAGGAACAACACAGACATGGATGGGGTGAAGGTTTGATACTGATACTTAATGTGCACTGCTCTTAATGCCTTCTGGGGGGTACTTCAACAGTTACAAATGACCCCTTATGAATAAAAGTGTCACATAATACCAGAGATGCATATGTCTCAATATCTAACAAAGCCTTGATGAGGATTACATTGACACACTTTATCGAACAGTTAGTCATTCTTAAAATTTATATACTGTCTAATAAACCTATTATTATTAGCCAGGGATTGCAAGCATTGTAAAGTGAGAGGGAACTCAAAGTAGTTGTAAAGGATTCAATCGATAGAAGCATCTGGGTCTATTCCCTCAAACACAAATGAGGAGTAAAGTGAGAGCGAACTCAAAATACTTGTAAAAAAATTAAATCAATAGAAACATCTGGGTCTAGTCCTTCAAACACAAAAATGGTGCTGTCAGGAATTAGTTTTTCAAACCAGAGAACTCACACGTGTAGATAATTAATGCCTACAGGACACTACATACATGTTGTAGTAATACATAATATCTACTGATAGTGCAGTATATCAATGGTGCTGTCAGGTAGGGATTAGTTTTCAAACTGGAGAATTCACACGTGCAGATATCTAATGCCCTCAGGGCACTACATAGTACTATCTGGTATATCATTTCCACTTGGATTAGCCCTTGGCATAAGAAATGTGTATTATATCCAACATTGAGTTTTCAAATACATTAACTAGCATTTACAATCTAACTAGTACATGTATAACCATCTACATGTACAAACACCCATAGCCTGTACAAATCTGATCTGAAATGGGTAACAACCACCTGTTAACAAATGAAAACACTGACCTGGCCTCCTACATGTATGTTACATGAGAAAGCCTACAGGTGGGCCAGTACTTGAATCACACAACGTTTTTGTAGACTGCCAGCTAAGCCCACAGATACTAGGAAATGTGTACCTTACTTGTGTACACTTCCTATTCCAAGTACAAAAGGAAACTTAACAAGCACGCCAACATACCTTTCCACCACCAGTGAAAACACTAGCTGGAACTACAGGAAGCATCCCTTATCTTTGACCTCTGACCTACTGAGTCATACATATTGTACTTTGGCAGCCGGGTTTTAGTGAGGTAATACTTTCAGACCTAACTGAAGCATGTTGCTCTCCCACATTGAGTATCAGCATATCCCGACTGGTATGTGCTAAGTAAACAGTAACAGCCCAGCCCTTTCCTGTTTTACCGGTTTAGAATATCTGAGTTTGATGACGGTGCCAGACTGTGTTACATAATGTACATTTAGTTGACATCGACTGATTTTCAAAATTGTGTATTGCACATACTGTGATATTAGGTGAGTTTGCACACATGCTTGTCCTTGAAAAAGGGTCGATGACCCATGGATCAATGTTATTAGTGAAGAATATCCAGATTTCCGAATACGGTCGACGCAGGCAAAATTTCTCCACAGGAAAGCCAGAGAATGATGGCCGTGGCCACAGAGGATCTACAGCCTTAGCACTACCCTGAAGACAAAGGGATTGCCATGTCCACTCTGCATACCAGTTACCCAAGGTGTGACGAGACTACTGCATGCATAGGGGTAGCTCAGACAAGGGGAGGGGCTTATAAGAAGTTACTTCATCCCTCTTCATGCTGGAATAAAATTATTTACTGTAACAGTTACAATTGTCGCATTTTGCTGAATTGTGTGATAAAAGAACAAACACCCCAACCTGAAAATTCTGATGTTATCTGTATCTTAGCCTGAGCTCTGTCAGTTCCTACCTGTTGATGCATGTAATGCTATCCACAGACGTCACCTGGATAATTCTACGCCACACTGAAAAGTTGGGCTATCTGCTACATCAGTGTACTCCCACCTCTTCTCACAGTCTCTCATGCGGGCAACCATAGCTAAGCTAAGGCTTAAGATCATATAAAGGCTTCATAACAGACACCTGCCTTACCTTATCATTAGTAGAAGGTAACGTTACTGTAAGTGTAACATCTTGTAGAGAAGAGCATAGCAGGTGTCCTCACTATATGCACACCAATAAGATCCAAAAGGGTTGACCACTAGCATTAGTACTGACTAGCTGTGACCAGTTATGTCAGCCTAAACAACAGTCAGTGTTCCTGGCTGACTGGACCTGACCTGTTGTTCCAGCTTTAGGGGGAGGCCACCTGGTTAAATGACACAACCTGGACCAGTCCACTTAGTTGTCAAATAGGGGTGTTATGCTATATTTCAACATCAACCCACATATATGACAAAGCAGTAAATACTTTCACATCTTATTACAGCACTAACATGTGCAAGCCCTAAATTGTAACAAAAGCTGGTTTACTTTTATCGTACAATAGCGTGCCACAAATCCTGAACAATGTTTACTGTAACGTTACTGCCACAGAGCACTAGACAGCAACAAATACAATGAATATGCAACAAAAGGCTTGTTACCTTTACCAAGGACATTGTGTTGTCAGTGCCATTTGTTTATTTGTGGGTTTGTGGACAGACACACTGTCATACTAAAAGATTTGGATGTCATACAAAATGTAAAATCATAATGAAGTTAGCTTGATAACAATATTTAAAGTGAAATATTAAGGGAAAGGCTTTCCAGAAATAAGTTGCTTTGTCGTGCTACTGCACAAAATTTAGTTGCACTGGATGGATATCTGCAAAAGACAAGGACAACTTACGATTTGGTTCAATGTTGGCTGAAAAAAAATGTACAGAATCTTTTTACATCGGCTTAAGAATCAAGAATTACATGCAAAACAACTGTTATGTTAACATGTATAATACTGTCAATACATTGGCAGAATAATTCATCAATATTATGCCAACCTTTTCTTTTGGATGGCCCAAACTAAAACTTTCAGGGATTAAGAAAAAATGAGACACATTTACCTCGTATGGCTTCCAACAATAACACAACTCCCTGGAGAATGCCTGAAGTGACAGTGGCTAGGTTTTAATCTTACCCCACATCTGACTGGTGATTACATGTACATAATGTCAATTTGGTACACCCTTGGCCAAATTGCAGAGCAGTGCAATTACAAGACGAGGTCCATTGACTGCCCCCACTAACGGCTGTCCACCCTCTACAAACGTACGCGTGCGACCATTTGCATACGGAATGGTCCCCGTGAGAAAAAACATTATCCAGCCAGCGTTATCTCCTATAACCACCACAGGATACCGTTTTCCCTGCAAGTTTTGGCGCTCAATAGGAGCACGCGACCTTCAAGCTGCTTTGAGGCCTCCGAAAATTATAGTCGTAAGTAAGAGAGCATCCTTGGGAAAATAATACAGCTGTAATTGGTGCAAATTTGGAGCCACGGTGACATTTTTAAACTGCCCTGAGAAGTCTAGACATTTAAATCATGATTAATTTATGCACATAAATATGAAACGGTTCAAAATTAGACAGCTCTGTATTTGCATGTAAAAGCAGATTATCATGTAAGCAAATATGACTAATGGCACTAAATTTCTTCATATATCAGCCTTTCTTATAAGCGTTCAAATTAATGATGGAAATGGCATTTTACATTCCTGAGAAGAAAAATGACTACATAAAAATGTGCTGTGGGTTAATCTCTTCTTGATGTACATGTACTTTTTTTAAATGATTTTTTTCTGAAACACAGTTTATAATATAATAATATTGAAGAAAATATTGTTAACCATTATTAACATTCACCTTTGCCTTGTCTCAGTCTCAGTAATATTGTAAAATTAATATTTTGTTAAAATTTAGCTAGCATATGCTTATGTGAGTCTTAGTTTTAGATTGCTTTCTGTAATTCATAGAAGCTAATATTTGCAAAACAATTCATCTGTGCAATATATATACAACATACCATGAATATTCTGTTTTAGCTATAATACTAATAGCCTCAAAAGGTATGCATAATATTCTTCTTGTGGATGAATAAATATAAAAACATGGCTGTGTAATAACACAATGTGGTTACAATTATGGTGAAGGATCATAAAAACAATTAATTCACCTGGTACAGAACTGATATTTTGTTTAGTGTCCTTAGCCATGTTTTTTTTTCAAATTGAAAACAAGTCTGCGATTGTCTGAAATTGTAGATTGGCAGAAAAGGACTTTGAAATTATCAGGTCTTATATTATGATAATAGAAAACTCTTGAAACAGCAAATTGAATTTACATGGCCTTTCCAAGTATGCTACATTTTGTACATTATACAGTACTGTATCCTGTACCCTTGGCGGTTGGGTCAGTCATGTTAATTGACCGGACATCGATCCTTCCAACACTTTTGTTCCACTTGACTTCATCACACACATCTGTATTCATGTGCTGAACATAAACACACTATATAAACAGCCGTCTCACAATAAAAGCCCCATATCCCTTAACAGACTTCAGTAGCAAAACTAAATGGCCGTCTCATATTACCACTACCTGTTGTGTTGGTGCTATATTTAAAGTTCAACAATCTCGCACGTTTACTGCTAGATTGGTGGCATCACTTCGAGTTTTAGCTCGACCATTGGTATCTTATCTTTCAGCTATACGAAAGTTACAGTACAAATTCTGTTAAATTTTGCCCTAAGGCTAGAAACAGACATGCCAATTAACAAAACACTCCTCCATAAGAATGCACAGTTTGCCAGTAAAGATCACTCACCTTCTAACTTTCTATCCCTTATACAAAACCTCTCCCTTGGCAGCCTTCCACATATATCGTACCCTCCGGAAGAAACGTGTCTACCTGGGGTTTATTTGCCCCTGGTGATGCCAAATAAGGACGTAACAGCTTGAACAATCCAGAATGCACACAGCCAGGCTCTTCAAGGAGGGGTGAAAGGTCACCTGAGAGCAGGACACGCCCTAATGACAGGTGGATGTACCTCTCATTTGCATGAAAAAGGGATGATGTCATTTGTTATGTCATGCCACAACTGGTGGGCAGGTCTAGAGCTTATAATATGTCAATCAAAAGAACAACAACAAAAAGAGCAAAAAAAGATCATAAGATTACAGTGTAACAGGTAGATAAAAAAGGTGAAATAAGATTATAAGATGGATTATTTCATGCCACCATAGAATCTATTCTGAACATCTGACAAGAATTAAGTGCCCTATGTAACCAAAACCTTGAAAGTTTGCGCAGTTTGTAGTTTGTTGAGTTTTTCTATCATGTGCTATCATGTCAAAGTGCACTAAGTCCCGTACCTTGTGACAGATCAATATTTGTCATAAATGGTGAGATAATGAATAAAGCATTTGAATTTGTACTTATCCTGCAACAGTACATCAGACCAACTAAATTATATAGTATGCCCCTAGTACTATTCTAAACTCATTTCTGTAAACTTACATGTAAGAAAATTTCCATTGTTAAGTTCAGCCATGGAGGTAGAAAAAAATCTTTTTTTTTCTACCTCCATGGTTCAGCTGAGATCAGACAGGACATGACTGTGCAAAGTTAGCACAAATAGTGCATAAAATTATTTTGACCATGACCTACATGTACCATCAAAGCTGTATACATAATACTAAAGAGGTAACGTGGGATGAAAAATGAACAGCGAGTGGACTGAAGTGACCCTCACTGCCAAAGAGGCGAGAAAAAATTGCTGGTTGTAGCAAGTAAAGCATTCCTCCAAGGACGCCTTGACTTTGAGAAATGAGCTGGTTCTTAAGTACATCTCAAGATAATTGGAATAAGACATCAATTACGTATCCCCTGGACTTGGGAATGTATCATGGGGGGCACTGACCGACACTTTTAAAGGCTGCGATAAAGTAGCAATTTCCTGCTTCATGTGGCAATAAACTCTGACAATTACAAGGGCCATACCATAAATAAAAACAGGAGGAACAGCCGCTGCAACACAAGAATATGGGTCTTCAATCAAGTGTCTGTCCAAGTTTGTTGCACTACTGTTCAGGGCTCAAAGTACCTTTTTTTTACCGGGTGAATGAATGAATGAATAAGTGAGTGAGTGAGTGAGTGAGTGAGTGAGAGTGAGTGAGTGAGTGAGTTAGTGAGTGAGTGAGTGAGTGAGTGAGTGAGTGAGTGAGTGAGTGAGTGAGTGAGTGAGTGAGTGAGTGAGTGAATGAATGAATGAATGAATTTTTTATTTACGTGTCTTGCGACTTTTGTCGCCCAGCCCATATGGGCTTATAAGACACCAAACATGAACATAAACATAGGTACAGAAATCATGTAAACATAAATCCAAGTCCGAGTCAAAAGGTGTGATTGAAAATCACCTGCATCAGACAAATTTTACCTGAACCACTCAGAATTTTGGAAGTATGGATCATACTAATATCTGTTCAGAAACCATTGTCATAATCTCTTTTCATTGCAGTGGTGGCAACAGTCAATATGATGAAAATGTACATTTACAGTGTAGGCTAGGTGCAGGTAGACAGCAGATGAGATGGTAGGTTGCAGATTTCACTGCAGAAATACCTGCACAGCTACAATTTGCAAAGTTCTTTGATCACAACCATTTACTTTCCTTTAGTGCATCTTTAGTGCACTATGCACCAAGTAACATCTAGCCTCAGTGCACAGTAAACCAGTCAGATTTGCCCTGATGAAGATGACAGACGGTCATCGAAACGTCCGCTCATGAAAAATAAATGGTTGTGATCAACGTACCTTGCTATGTAGATGTGTAATTCATTCGTTTACCAACCTGATGAAATTATTTACGGATACAATTTGCAGCTGCAAACTTGAAACTTGAAACACTAGCCTGCAGGTGGTATTTCAACTGCAGGTGAAACTTGAAAATATGAAACACTTACTTGCAGGTGGTATTTCAAGCCCTGTTGATTATGATGGCATAATTATTATCTTACTAGTTACATGCTATACACTTGCAAAATTTGGCGCTAACAATTTCACATATTCCTTCCCCAACATCTTTCAAATTCGTCCTTTATTCTTGCACCCAACACTGTTGAAAGTGTTTTCTGCATACTAACTGGCCATCAAAACCAAGCAACTGCAACATGTTTATTTCTGTGAATCATTGGCTGCCTAGTCATCCTTGATACCACCCCAATAAAATTGTAATGTTTCTTTTCATGTCTTCTTTGCAACTGTAATAACGACTCCTCAAGGTCAATGCAATAAGCTCAATCCCCTCAAGGTCATTATACAAGAGCTGCTATCAAACATGGAATTGCCTGCCATGAATTGGCTCATCACTTGTGAAATTCAGATGTGGGGTGCATATGATCGTTCCTTGCCAAGGTGCATTAGAGGGAAGGCTGAACCCGCGATAAGAAAATTACCTGGAAAATCCTAAGACTATGCAGACTGCAATTTTATCACAATGTGCGTCAAGGAAATGAGAAACACAGGCACTTGTGCAGAAAGGCATGGAAATCCATCTGAGGCGTCATTATGCTCTGGTTCAAAAGATACAAATCCCCCCACAAGGCCTGGGTTTTCATTTACATGTAGAATGGAGACTATATTTGGCTTATGGAATTTTTGTCCTCAAGAGTCTCTCTGAAGAACACAGCAGGGTTGGACAAGTCCCATTGCCCACTTGCCCAGGGCAAGTAAAAGTACTGTTTGGGCAGGTGAATATCCCCCTGTACTTGCCCAATTGGGCAAGTAAATTTTTTGGATGCAAAGTATAGCCCCTCCAGTATTTTGTCCAAGTTTCAAACAATGTTGATAAAAAAAGTATCCAACATTATGAACTCTTATAATAAAATAATTTTTTCCTGTTAGTACGGTAAAATTAATATTTTGGACAAGTGAAATGTTGGTTCGGGCAAGTGGAAATGACCAGGTACTTGCCCAATAGGGCAAGTGGATTTTTAAAAACTTGTCCAACCCTGACACAACATGGAAAACTTAAAAAAACAGATGCTCAGCCTTTTCCTTGTGTTAAATTCCAATATCCATGCAGACACACCTTCCTATATTCCAGCTCTAGTCTTGCCTAACCATTCCAACCCTATGGTCCACCAGGCTTCTGACGTTATAGATGCAGAGAGACATTTTCAAAGGTTGTAGATTTTGGAGACAGATGACCTTACGGCGTTTTGCCTGATTAAGTTATTTTTACAAGACCAGCTAACAACACAACAACGTCGACATTAGGTTCCTGGCATATTCTTCACGTCATGAGCAATGAACCAAATGAACGTGTTTTGCCACTCTTATGAATTTTTCATCGCCCTGCACTGGTTTTCGTCCCAACAGGCCACTGACATTAAGATAGAGTAAATGTCAGTTCTCCAGTAGCAGCCCATCCCCTTTGCTCGTGGAGCAATACTTCCCCATGATTCATATTTAACCTGTTTCAAATTCTTACCACATGGCATACAGAACACATCTATATGCTAATGCTACCATATACGCGAGACAACTTGAAGGTATACATCTCCAGCTTGATCTTTACCTGTCTTGCCTATGACATATCGGAAACAAATTTCCAAAGGACTTAGTTTCCAGGTCCAAAGAAAGTCAGGAGACATTTATCTAGAGAGGTGGGGGTGAAAATAGCAAAACTTTTGTTGGAAAGCTGAGGAAAAACTATAGTAAGAAAGTTAACACAAGAAATGGACAGAATGTGGAAAGAAAAGGAACTAGAAAGGCCGACATTTGCTTTGGAGCAAATACAGCAATGGCTTCACCACATTTTACGACATGGCAGGGAAAGAATGAGAAACACAAGGGAAAACAATGCTTTACATTGATATAACTATAGTATGAAGTAACATACAACTAAGACTACAACAGTTGGATAGCTATTCCCTACATTATTGGTTAGGATTTTTAATTGCATAATGCAAACTGTTGATTTTCAAGAAAAAAAGAAGTGTTCATGCCCCGCATTCCAATGCTGGAGCAGGAAAGCTTGAAATACCTACCAAAACACTTGAATACAGACATACTGTCAGTATGGAATGGATCTGAGCAGGTATTAATTAAGTTAAGCCTGTTAAATTCCAACAGCCAATCAGCAAGGAGAATAGAGGAAAGCTGCATGCCTATTGGTTGATGCCCTGCATTCCATTGTGATGACTCATGCCCAAATGTGGTAACACTGCACGCTAACTCAGTAATACATTTGCTATAACACAGCCAAAAAACTCAAATAAAACCATTCTAAAAGCCTGTATCACAAAAATTAAAAAAACGCCTAGGGGTATTTGCCCACTGTACCTCCATACCAAATTTCAGGACCTTAGGCCCTAAAATGAAGAAGCTGAATCCATTTAAAAAATGGCAGGAGAAGGAGAAGGAGAAGGAGAAGGAGGAGAAGAAACATCAGAAAAAGCAATATGGGTTCACCACCACTTCGTGGTGTGGTGAACCCATAATTACAAAAGCCATGCGCAAACAAAAGCCACCCAAGAAAATCAATTGTCACTGAACACTTTTGTTTTGAACTTAGATCTTTTCCATTCAATAAAAATTGCTGTTAAATGATATTCTAAACCTCCTTCCATCACTCTTGACATATCAAGCTTTAGTGGGGCAGCCCTAAGAAGACAACATGGAGAAAATGACCCTACTACATGTACATGTATGTATGATGCCATCCCGTTTACTTTTCTATTTTCATCTAAAAGACATTACGGTGATCATATGCTGAAATTTCTTGTAAGCTTGATGTTGCAATCAATGCCAAGCCACGGACAGAAAGAAATCAAACTTGAACAGGTACAAATGACTCTGATCGGCCTTAACCAACGAATGATAGTTTCCGGCCATCATTTCATGCTAAATTACACGGCAAGCTAATAAGTCACGACACACCCAAATGGCCGATGATGGATCTGGTCTATTTGAATGTGTCAGTGTAAATTCCCGCGGGCTT